TGTTCATGGCCTATACCCTGGTGCAGGGTGAGAAAGTGTTTGTCCGTGGCCTATACCCTGGTGCAGGGTGAGAAAGGCAATGATGATGAATTTTCCTGTTCTATCTTCAGAATGCTGCGAATCGTGGCGCTGGTGTCACTGCGAGAAATACAAAGCGGAGAGGAGCTGTTCTCTTCTTACTTCACCATCGTCAGATAATGGAAAGACAGTTGAATGGTGTGAATTCTAATGCAGTTTCTGTGAGTAGAATTTTATGAATATATACACCATGCACACTGCCATTGGGATTGAATCAAAGTCAGGACTAGCCAGATTTTTCTCCTTGACACAATAGGGCCGATTTGACTTGTGGCTTTAAAAATGCATTTGATTTTGAAGGTCACAATCAAATCTATTTCTGCCAAAATGGCAAGTTTTGTCCCATCCAGGGTAGTCATGACTGAGTTCGATGGCGGTGTGCACTCAACGTTAGATGTAGTTTTCACCAGTCTATAATTCAATGCTTTATGTCCAAGCCAAAGAGCTGGAATTCAAATGGCCGCTGGATCGGAAATGTAATGTAAAGTAAAAGTAATGCTTTATGTCTCCTGCCACTTGTTCAATTCTGCAATTCTCCGTAATTCCAACCACTCCAAAGGGATTTGAACAGACTAACAAATCTGGGACCAGCAAAGTTAGAGGCAAATTCTTTCCCCCATGCTTAGTAAATCAACATTTGAAAGAAAAATAAAACAAAAAAGGGAAGAAATCACTCTGAAAAATGGAATAGAGAGAGTCAGGGTGACGTAAATAGTCGGTAACAATGAACTGATCACTCTTCCATGTTGATATGTTGATATGTTATTTTGAGTTGCTTCCCTTCAGACTGGATTTCTATGATGTCTGCTAAAGTAAACTTTATTATTTCTCAAGTTATCAATATTATCATATTTCATTTACTGATTTAAACTTGCCATTCAAATGTGCTAAACAGTGGGATTTTAAATAGATTTATTTATGGTGTTGAGCTGTTGGTAGTAGAGTAACCCAATTATTCTGAAACCCTGTCCTCACTGTCCTCTATGTTTCTCACTGTTTTATTCAACCGAACCATTTGTAACGCAAACTGACAAAATGAGTTGTACGTCGGATTATAGCCCTACGGACATAGATATATATTTCAAATATTTTGTAGATTGAGTTTGTACAATTCGTTAGTATGAAATGATAAAATACACATTGAACTTGAAGAAAATGGCATCAATTGAAAATCTACAAATTCAACCCGTGTCAGTTTTCAGCAAATAAATTTAAATCCCCATTCGTCAATAGCCAAAAGTAGCTCATTTTGTTTGCATGCCTCACGTTGTCTACACTGGGTGTTATTTCATCAGTGATATGATACACAAACTTAGTTTCATTCTCTTCCATTTTTCATAACTGGCACTGAGAAATTCGATTCCTTTTTTCTTCTATCGCCTCCTAAGTGACTGTAAAACTGAGAAACCTGGCCGTTCCCCTGTGAGATGGGGACGTTGTGACGTTGTTCCACCAGTCATCTCCCCCTGATGACAGCACTGAGGGTTCAGACACTCTTCCTCTGACATGACGGAGAACGGATGAGAGCAAAGATCTGCTACAGCGCCTTATGGTTCCGCCGTTTGACGAGACACCTGGTTGGAAGTTCTAAAGAAAGGGGAACTTGATCTCACTACAGGACACCATGTAGATGGTCGGCCGGTGCTCTGGTGTGGTCTGCCCCTTCTCCTTCTTTCCTTTCAACTATCTATCAGCCTTACATAAATCTCTCTTCCTTCATTTTTTGAGTTTGTTATTCTCTTGTAACACCTCTAATCTTTGGCATTCATGATATTATTGTGTTGCAAGTGCTGTAAAACTTTTACTAAAACTAAAGGACATCAAAATTACCCAATGAATGTGTATATAATTTTTGGTCAATAATACAATTGTCAGTTTTGCCTGATTCTTGAGGTCATTACATAGAAAAATTAGAACCTCGAACTTGGTTTTGGTCCTTTGTCTATTGTTTTAGGTGTCATTATGAAATGTTAAACGGCAGGAAAGTTTTCCCAAAATGGAAAATCAGGGTGAATTTTAAAAATTTGCCTAAAAAATTAATTTTGAAAAGGAACCAGTTATAACTTGGTCTGTACTTTATTTTGGAGAACATAAAGAGGTCTGACTTTACGTAGAATTTTATCCAAAAAAATTTTTATTTTAAATTCTCTAAAAATGATCCATGTGTGGGTGTGGGGCGCACAAGGGTGTTAGAAATAGCCAAGGTCTAGTGAGTCAGCCAGGTAAATGTAGATTTCAAACAAATAAAAATGTGTCACGACGCAGTGGAACCGGGCGCTCGTCAAATTTTGGACGTGTGGAGCTATAGGTATCATTTTAAAGCTTGTTCATTTGTCTTGCTTTCGGTGAAAAAAATACTCGTATACCATGAATAGAAGTTGAGATATTTGCGATTGAAGGAGGTGGGGGGTCGCCTGGTTTCAGAGGTAAAATTAGCGAGAAAATGGCTGCCGAAGTTCGGTATCCTCCAAAGCTTGAGAGTCCTTAGAAACTGCAAATTACATTTTTGTGCCTAAAATCATTTTTCAGCAAAATCCACACTGAAATGTCTTTATAAATGGACCTTAAAGGTGCTAAGTCAAGAAACGAAAATTCGATAAAAATTGCCAAACAGAGAGAAAAAGGCATTTCTTCGATTTCATTATTTTGACGAGCACCTGATTTTACCACCATGCCTCACATATATGTTAACTATGGACGTTTTTTACGCCACCATCGATACAATTTAGATCATTCACAAGGCGGACTTCCGATCCTGCCTGTCAGGGCCAACCCAGGTTGAGAGCGATACATTGTAGCAGAAAGACCGAGATACTCCATACAAATTCTCTCACCACTCAGGAATTGAGCCCAGATCTCCTACATGTGACAGTGAAACACCTAACTGCTACACCACAGACACTGGTATATTTCACACAGAAAAGTTTTCTTTTTTCAAAAACTGAAATAACAATTGTGAGACATACTTACAAAAGAGTTACTTCTTGCAATTCACAAATCGATATATTAGCCAAAAATCGACACAAGGGGCAAATTTGTAGATTTTTCTATCTTTGTCTCTTTCATTAAGTATAACATGCCTTTCATTATTTTATACTTATAAATTGTAAAAACTTCACCTATAAGCGTGATGTATCTATTTCGATAGGGCTCGAACCCAAGAAGTAACTCATTTTGTCAGCATGCTTCAGAATTGCAAAGTTGACCGACGTTCTACACCGTCATCAGCACAATGTAGATAATTTGCAATGTAGTAATAGTAAATAATTTACAATGTGGGCTGATTCAGTCATGTTGGTCAAGGCCAAGCTTAGTGCAAAACCACAGTGTTCCATTCCAGGAGAAATAAAGAGACACTTGATTAAATAAACTCATGTCTTCTGCATTTATCGGAGAAGAGTCTAAGCATTGTACCTGTAGAGTCCCCTGATGATGAGAAACAACAGCAGTGACAAAGAAAACAGTTTTGAGATTAATGGAACATCTCTGTAATATTTATTTATTCTTTAACAGCATTTTTTTTTATGTATCTAGTGCAATATTATGACAACAGCTCTATTTCTACCGTAGAAAACAGAATCTGTAGAAATAAGAAAGAAGCATACAACAACCATTTAGATAAGAAAAAACAATAACACCTCTTAATGTAATACTAAAACAGTACACTAACACCTCAAAATACTATACCATAATATAGTACAACTTCCAAAGGTTTACGGGAAACCTAATAAACCATTCATTATGAGCAATGAGCAGGATACATCCTGGTAGAAAAAAACAACAACAGAAAAGAAGGCCAATATAGACCAAGTGGAATGCACAGGAAGTATAATATCTCTATAAATAGATCAAAATATCAGTAAACATCTTTGCAGTGTTTCAAGACAAAAAAAAAAAGATAGATCTAATGATGTCATGTTGAGCACAGTTTGAGTAAAAAGGAACACATCAGCATGATATAATAATAACAGCCATTTTAATCAGGGAAAAGGGAACAACGACACAAAAATAACAGCGGAAAGGAAAAGAAGTGTGACCTATCATCAGTAGTACACTCCAGCCACCCACACTGTATTATGGCATGATAGACGAAGTGAAGAGGATTTCAAACTTGATTTTTAATAACTACAATGTATTAACAAATGTTTATAACACTCAAGTCATTCTCATGTTCTTCATGCTCCAAGAAGTAAGTGGGACTCCGATCTTTTCACATCAAAGCTGCCAACTTTTCAAAACCAACAAACAGACTCTGACCACGCCGCAGGTCAATATGGTGGACAGTGGCCAAGAAACTACCCTCCAAACTCGTCACACACACTATAAATTAAAGCTATTATTATATGTGAGGCATCGTGGTGAAATCAGGCGCTCATCAAAGTACAGAAATCAGAGAAACGGTCATTTTTCTGTCAGTTTGAAAATTTGTTTTGAATTTTTGTGTCTTGGCTCAACACCTTGTATGTCCATTCGGAACACATTTGTGTGGATTTAATGGGAAAACGCTGATTAAAGGCACGAAAAATATAAATTTGCAGTTTCCAAGGACTCTTGAGCTGTGGAAGTCGCCAAACTTTGGCAGCCATTTTCTCACTAATTTTACTTCTAAAACCAGGGAACCCCATATCCTTCAATGGCAAATACCTCGACTTCTATTCAAGATAAGCTGATACTTTTTAAATCAAAACCAAGGCAAATGAACAAGCTTTACTTAAAGCGATACCAATAACTCCACATGCCCAAAAATAGACGAACGCCTGATTCCACCGCGTCGTGACACATATTTCCCTCACACAGGACAGCCTGCTAAAACACAGGGCAATCACTCACACTCACATTTCTTCAATATTTCATCAAAATTGCCGAGGAAACAGCCTCAGATCTTTCAGTTTTCGCAGCACATGACATAAAAGATGGGACAGAAACATGTTTCACATAAAGGATGGGACAGAAGCAGACATCACAGGAAAAATAAGAAATTCAGGAACAGCACATCTTCAACTTCAAAACATCTGGAAGGAAAATACATTATATATCACAGAAAACCAAACAAAGACTTTTCAATTCAAATGTGAAGTCGGTGCTGTTGTGTGGATGTAGAACATGAAAGTCAAAGGCCACAACAGGTGACTCAAGAAATTTCAGATATTTTTTAGCAAAAGACGGCTCTGAAAAATCCTCCTGACAGAATAAAAAGGCAAAGTCAAAAATGAAGAAATCTGATAGATGGCACAGATGCCAGTAGAACACCAAGACTGGCTCTTCAAAAAAACAAGAAACATCCTCAGCAGACAGTTGAGACAGGCACCACAGTGGAATCCTCAGGAGACAAGAGGCAGGGCTGCTAGGCCATGGGAGGCGTGGAAATATTGTCACAAGGAAACATCAAAGGTGAAACACAACTGGGGTCAGTGAGGGAAGCTTGCCAAAGACAGAAAAGGCTGGAAATTGCTTGCCCGCGGCTTATATTATACCCTGCCAAGGGTGAAGGGTATGGAGGATGATGGGCTTGGCCACTTCGCACCAGACACCACTGGTAATAAATAATATCCCCTGTGGAACACACCCCTCATACAACACTTTCCCAGGTAACATGGACCTTAGACAAGGGATAACATCATCTCACCAACATCACAAGTTTCAAAATGTCTGTTTGTTATCAACAGCCGAGACGGCACCAACTGCCTATCACATTGGGACTACAATTTTCCCCGTCGTTACAAAGTTCACACTTGCAGTGCTATAAAGATATTATTAAAAAACTAGTACAGTACTGAACAGTTAATCCGAAAACAGGGGTAAACCAAAGGAAAATACTAGAATCCCTTATTTTTTTCTGCGCTAGTTCAGCTATCTTTAGAAACCGAAAACATGACCAAACCAACAAATATCTGGCCGTACCGCAGATTTTAATGTAATGCAAAAAACAACACAACTGACAAAAAATAAAAATCTACACAATTTGCAAGTAAAGTGTTCTCACTCAGTTCAAAAACATGTCGATCAAAAAGTCATTGTTGAAGCAAAATCAGCCTATGGTTTCTAACAAAGATCAGTCTTGTTTTGTTTTTGGGCGTTTTTCTTTGGGTTTTTTTATTGGTCTGAGCCATCACACAACTACAACGCAAAGCGCAGGAAATTTTGTTAACAACTTGTCAAACTTGTGTCCGCCTCACTCCAGGCTTTGGCGCAGTTAATGCTTTTTTAAAAAAGATTTTAAGGTCAAAGTGTCACAGAGCAACTGCATGGGTTCTGTACACAGAGGATGTAAAAGTTAGTTAGACAGCTGCACGTCACGTGGTGACTCAGACTGCTGGGGTCTGATCGTCTTTCTTCCTTGTGCCAGAAGAGAAGATAACAAGAATGGGTTATGATTGCCGAATGATATGTTCTACAAAAAACGGAATCGGTATTTTTATTTTTTAAAGTTTTTTTTTTAATCGTACAGCTTCCACCCAATTTGTAATGATGGGCATCCCTGTGCAAGCAGCGACGAAAATCCTAACTGTTGCACTACCGTACAGACACTGGTCAAATGGGTGACCAGCACTACATGTACAACACAAGCACCAGATTGTAAAATAGATGATCAGTTACAGCACTGTAGTTGCATATAGATCTATAAAAAAGACATAATATTTTTGGCATATTGTCCAAACCCGACAAAAATATTTCCCATGTGACCAATTCTTCTGACCTTGTCATTTTTTCTAATTGTAATAACTGCTATAAAAAAAAAGCTTTTCTTATCAAATATCTAAGAAACAATCTCATGCCCCCCTCCTCCCTCCCCCCCCCCCCCAACCCCCTTTCCAAACCTACCAGAAATTCATACATGTGAAACTATGCCCCCCCCCCACCTCCCCGACCAACCCCTCACTGGCGACCCCTCCCTTCCAGAAGTTGGAGAATGTGACACTATCTCTCATCCGACACAGTCCAATCTAGACTTATAATGAGCAACAGAAGTAAATATCAGAATGGAAATATCTAAAGTAGGCAACATTCCATTAGTAACATAAGAATACAAAATACAAAACCAATATATATATCTTGCATCCAAAGTTGGTTATAAATAAATATCAGAATGGAAATATCTAAAGTAGGCAACAGTCCATTAGTAACATAAGAATACAAAATACAACACCAATATATATATATTTTGCATCCAAAGTTGGTGATGTTACATCATACAACAATGATAGAAATAGATTTATTTTGGACGTTTTTGAAGAGTCATAGTGGGACGGCTTCAACAACAACAACAGAGAAAAAAGTTCCGCTGATAGTTTAGTTTTAGTAGAGGTTTTACGGTGCTCTCAACTGCATAACGTCATATGAGCGCCAGAAGATTAGAGGTGTTACAAGAGAGGTAACAAACACCAAAAAAAAATGAAGGAGGAGAGATCAGGATGATAGATGTTTGATAGGAAAGAAGGAGGAGAGAACAAGATAAACAAGAGAACAGACGTTTGATAGGAAAGAAAGAGCAAACCACACCAGAGCGCCCGCCAGCCACTCGTTTGAATCTTTCAATCCCGTTTTCCCATGGAGTACGAACCCTGTCATTCTACAGGAATATAACTATTATAAAAGTATAAGAAAATGCAAATGTGCATGTAGACTCGAGAAGTCTTGTGGCAACAATGGACAGCATGAAAAACCATCTTGAAGCTCACATAGCATTGCACTATCTACATGCACTTATAAATATATATAAACTATGCAATTTTATAAATGTTCTACACCGACAAACAGTTTAGATCCTCTAGGAGGCTGGCTGCTTTGATCCACATGTCGCTGCCAACTCTGGCTGAGAGGGATGCAACATCCTAACAAAACAAAGATGGAGATATCTGATTTTTTTTTTTTTTTACCCTATCCGTACGTCCTGGAATTATTTGTACCCCCGGGGTTGTATTCTTCACATTTTAGAATACTTCTAGTACGAAGATCTCTTTGAAACTTTCAGTATTTCTCAAAACATCATTTTGACAGACTGCTATGCAAAGCGTACGGATCGGATTAACGAGTAAATTTCCTCTTTGAAAGTGGTGGCACAGGAGTTCCCCACGTCATATGGATACGATAGTAAAACACGACGTACGGATAGGGTTAAGTGGTGGCACAGAGTTCCCCACGTCGTATGGATACGATAGTAAAACACGACGTACGGATTGGGTTAGGGGACGACAAATCGCTCACTGCTCCACCACAGAAGCGGGTACCACAAATCTTGACTTGTACAATACGAAAACGCTTCAGAAGAACTATTGCTTCTAATTATAGGCTGTGAAAAAAAATATGGCAGGATCTTCCACAAAGACAGCCTCAAGAACAATCCATTTTATTCTTTTTCTGATCAGAAACTGCCACACATCCAGAACACCAAGAAGTCTTAAGACTTCTCTGAAAGAACACAACAACAATAGAAAAAAACGCTAACACTTATAAATAGAATTCTTCATAAGTCCCCCCCTCCCTCCTCCAAGAGAGATTCAAAGCTGTAGCTTCATGCCTTTGAGTTGACCGACCAGTCATACTTCAAAAAGCTCACTTTGAAGTTGCCGATCTTCAGAAGTTCTTCCAGGTCTTTCTTCTTCTGACCTGCGTCCATATGGCTGGCCACAAACTTCAGCAGCTGCAAAGAAAAAATTATACCAATAATAATAAAAATAATAATAATTGCATTTATATAGCCCATATCCACGCTCTAGAATTATGGTCTATGAGATTTACTGTTTATAATTGGGTGACCTTATTTGGGCTATATATGTATCCCAAATAAGCACTCCCCTTATTATTACCCTAACAGACCTTAGAACACTCAAAAAACATTCTCAGAAGCATATAGTATATAGTGCAAGAAACCAATTTAGAGTAGTCATTAAACTGGCTGAAAGAGGCTAACACATAGTTGCAATGTAATGGTTAGGCTCTTCACTCTTTGCTGTTGCACTTAGAAGATATAAGTTCCAGCCCTGAGATTGAAATGGGAAATTACATCAGCCAGTATCTTCATCTGCCCCCTGTGATACTGTACCTGACTCAGCCGGGGTGAACAGAACACACGGCACTGAAGCAGCCCACTTCCTACAATATTCATATCGGGTCAATAGTCAGTGGCACTACCCCGGGGGGATATCCGATCAATAGTCAGTGGCACTACCCCGGGGGGATATCGGGTCAAGAGGGGCATAACACAGTAAAAATCATTGAATGCAGCTGCTTTTTTTGTATTTTAGTGTTTTACAGCACTTGCAACACAATGGGGTCATATAAGTGTCGAAGATTAGAGGTATTACAAGCAATTAACCAACGTAAAAAAGAAGGAGAGATATAGATGACAGATGTTTGATAGGAAAAAAAGTGCAAGCTTCAGGAGAGCACCCACCGACTTCCCACAAATGTGGCTACCACTCTGCCAACTTTGATATGGGAAGTGGTCATTTGTTCATGTGACTGTCTTGGACACGTGGCAATTTGAGTATACTCAACTTATTACATAAAGCAAACATAAATAGGAACATAACGACAAATACTCAAAAGCTTGTACCTCTTTCTTATTGCTGCCGAAGTCTTCCTGATACCACTTAAATATGGCCGACAGTTTGACAGTTTTCGTCTTCACATCGACAAAACAGCCGTCGTCGTTCTCCACAAAGGCAGCAGCAGCGAGTGTCAGTTCCTCATAGATGTTCTACGAACACATGTGGAGGAGATGGGAGGGGAAAACCTCTTACACACTTTAGGTACAAGAAACTAAATTTTCAGCGTAGCTGTACGACAAATTCATCTGTTCCATGTGAAAGACCTCGATATCTATACCTGAGCATTTTTCAGACCATTCTCTTCCCTCTCAATCGATTTGTAAAGAGTACAGCAGCCATTTTAGTCAAATCAAAGTATTGCAAAATCCGCTACTTGGCTGCACCCTCATGTTTTATAGATAATAAATGGTATCAAATGTACCAAACATCTACACATTCAATAGAGGACAACCACAATAACGTCGATATAAGGAGCATTATTATTTTTCAAGACTGTGAGATGACTGCAAATCAGTATCTTATTGCCTCAGACAAGCAGATTTGTCCTCTCTTTGACAAAAACTTTGAGCCCTGCCCCGGCCAGTGTAACATTTGACATCCACACCGAGTGGTTCGGCTCTTTACTGTAGTGTACCAATAGCTCCGCATGTTGGAGTTACATTATCATACTTTTGGAGTTTTGAGGAAGGATTATTTGAAAACAATCCCAAGCTGACACTTTATTCCAATAGAAAATGAACTGATCTTTCTTTTAGTGCCATTTTTTCATTTGTTTCTCCACTGTTATTGTTCTAAAACATGGCATTTATAAGGCAAAACCATTGTAAACTACAACTCAACTGAGCCTGAAACCAAAACATTTCCCAGGAAACTCGTAAATTGTCAAATTAAACCTGAGAAAAACAGATAAAGAGAATTGTTTAAAATTGTCCAAATGCAGCAGCTACCTGTGCGGAGTAGGTTTTGATGGGGGGACAACTCTTGGCTCCACAGACCAGGCCGAAATGTATCAGGGGCTCATGGCGCTCTAAGGCGACTTTCAACCTGGGGTCATCTTTGCTGAAGGGGTTGGAGAACTGGCCTGCAGCAAACAGATGGGAACAGAACACATCAATAACTCAGTGTAACACTCCCACCACACGTCACTTTTCCAAATGTCTACAGTGCAGCCTCTTTATAAAGACCTTCGACATCCTCTGTGTAGCGACATGGTGCCCAGGTCCTGATTTTTTCCTTATACATCATTATTAATCTTTTTGGTTGCCCCTCTATAACGACAACTCTCTATAACGACATTTTTTTCTGGTCCCAACGATGTCGTTATAGAGAGGCTGCACTGTTCGGCCGAGTCACCAAGCAGTCCAGATAAAAAGTAAAAAAGATTTAACTGATTAAGAGCTATCAGTGAGAATTCTTGCAAGACCTAACAGTGTAAACACTGAGTAGGACTTCCCTTGTTAGACATCTTATTTAACAATGCCCCCCCCCCCCCAAAAAAAAAAAAGAATTAAAGATTGATTACCGGGAAATAATTTTTGTTTTCAGCTGGTCCACAGGTCTGTGTGCCCCAAATGCCTGCTGTACACACCTATATCGGTATTCCACATCTACCTCAAACCCGACTGTCCCCACAAGCCCATAAGTGAACTAAATAAGGAACCACATCAAGATACAAGTACAACTATGTTTTAGTAAAGAGTCTTACGGCACTTGCAACACAATAAGGTCATATAGATGTTGAAGATTAGAGGTGTTACAAGAGAGTAACAAACACAAAAAAGGAAAGGAGATAAAGATGATTAATGTTTGATAGGAAAGAAGGAGAGAACCACACCAGAGCACCCGCCAACCACCCACAAATACAACTCTAGCACCAGGGACAAAAGAAAAGCTTGTCATTCCAGCACGTACCTACTCCTTTCCTGTTGGCGCGGAGCACGCCGTTCTCAATGTCCTGTAGAGAGTAGGACTGACCACCAATTATGTACTTGGTGCTGTTGAAAAACTGGGCGAGAAAGACCAAGCAAGCATACTTTACTGCCGTCAATAGAGAAAACAAAATCAGGCAAGGATTACATAAATCTTTAAAAAGAATCTTCTTTTTTTTATGCTTTAGTAAGAGTTTTACAGCACTTGCAACAAAATAAGGTCATATGAGTGCCGAAGAATACTTGTGTTGCAAGAGAGTAACACACACAAAAAAGGAGGAGAGATAAGGACGATAGATGTTTGATAGGAAAGAGGGAGCAAACCACACCAGAACACCCGCCAACCACCAACAAGAATCTCCTGCAAAACAGTGCAGTGCACAAGGGACCATAGTCTCAAAAGTCTATATAAACCCCAAGTAGTTTAGAGTTTTAATACATGTTCATCTCAAGAACTTCAGAAAATAGTGAAAAATAGAATGAAACTCAAAATTGTTTCAATTTGAACCCTTTATCTCCAGAAAACCAATCCCAGCAGTTCGCGGTTCGAACCCCTAAGCCGTTGAAATGCTGGCAGTGGCTCGGGCACATCCATTTACGACGACTTCGACGTCAAATTAGTTTTTGGCAATTGCCAAACACAAGCTTCTTTTATCGTAAATTCTTTCATAGGATGAAGAACTATCAATATAGCTACGTTTGTTTTGATTTACTGACCAAGTAAGTGACATATATGTCACTTTTAGATTCCGTACCAAAAGAGGGGCACGATATAGTGGGTTTACTGCCTTCGGAGATAAAGAGTTTAAAGTAGCGCCAGAATTTGTCCATGCATTTTCGGGATGAGTATTTGGTCGCTTTTAAGAACAACGGGGCCATCCCAAAAAAAGCTGTTTTGAGAAAATTGAAGGTAAAGTTTTTGAATCCTTATTCAGTTTCTTTAAAAGACAAGGAGAGTTTTCTCTATAACTAAGCAAATATACACACCAATGAAACCAAACTTCTCTTACAGATAGGGCAATGCCCACTTTTGGTGTAGGTCAAGATTTCTGGAAAACCCTGAATTATCTGGGTTAGCCCACTTGTCCTTAAAAGCGACCATTTGTCCTTTTCATCAAACTGAATTCTTAGCACAGGGTGGTCCCTACAGTGCCAAATTCTTCTCAAACTGCCACTAAACAAGCTCAGAACAGCCTCATCTTCTCACCTTGTATCTTCCCCACAGGTTGGTGGGTGGGCCTCTCTCTATGTTGGCGTGAATCACTAAAGCGTTGTAGATGTTGATGAAGAAGGCCAGCTTCTCCTCGCGACTGGCGCTCTCCACGTCCACTCTCAGCAGCTCTCTCGTCATCTTTTTGTACACCTGGAACTCATCACTGGCCTTCATTCCTTGGTAGTCCACCGCCTGAACAAAGATACCATTGTGGGGGGTGGTAGGAGGTTGTGGGAGGTAGTGAGACATTGTGGGAGGTGGTGGGAGGTAGTGGAAGGTGGTGGGAGGTAGTGGGAGGTGGTGGGAGGTGGTAGGAGGTGGTGGGAGGTAGAGAACAGAAGACTTGACTTCTTTTCTCTACTTACAAGGCTGGTAAGTTTTAGTAAAAGTTTTAAGGCACTTGCAACACAATAAAGTCATATAAGTGCCAAAGATTAAAGGTGTTACAAGACAGTAACAAACACCAAAAAAAAGGAGGGGAGATAAAGATGATAGATGTTTGATAGGAAAGAAGAAGCAAACCACACCAGAGCACCCGCCAACCACCCACAAGGCTGGTAAAGAAGGGGGGGAGGGGGGTGGATACATTCTTTCCTCTTTCGCTTTACACCACAGAGCACCAATGTTCAGTAGAGAGTAGAGGGAGAGAAAAATGTTTAGGTATGCTGACAAAATCTTGAATCAGTTACTTCTTTTATTTAAGCCCGATGGACGTAGATACATCAAATTTCAAGGCTGTTATTATTCAATTTTAAAAAAGGAAAAAATAAAAGACGTGTAAAAGATTTTTAACAAGTGGCATCAGTCGAAACTCTTAACATTTGACTCCAATTATCAAATTCCTTTAGTTCCATCCAAAAAAAAATCAAAAGAAGATAGAAAAAGCCCTACCATGGCAAAATGCTAAGTCAAATGACCCTAATACCTCACCTTTCCATCAGCAGACAAAAACACACTGTACAGCTTCAGAATCATCTTCCTCAAGTGATCTCCAATCTCGTTCGCTATGGAATAAAGAAACAATACAAAAAAGAACTAAATATACCATAAACACTGAAACATCGTAAAATAATGGAAACAGACCATTCAGCACTAAAGAGGCTACCTCTCAGCTGTTGGAGAAAAAAAAGTCTAATTTGAAAGAAATGCTCCATCAGTTTGGAACTCTCTTCCCCAACCCTTGAGACATAAAACATCTGAGTCTAAATTTTAAAAATCTTTAAAGACACATTTAATGACATCATTTTTATGTCAGTAGATTCATGTTCAGTACAATGTTATGTAAATGACTATGTATCCATTTGTGTATTTAGTGCATTGCATATGTATTTAGTGAATTGATGTATTTAGTGAATTCCATTGTGCATATTATTTTATTTAAATATATGTGCTCATTTCATGACGATGTGTAAGCGTGCGCGTGTGATAAGCAAGTAGATGTGTGTGTGTGCGTGCGTGTGTGTGTGTGTGTGTGTGTGTGTGTGTGTGTGTGTGTTTGGCGTACATGTGTGTGCACATGTGTGCGTTTTAATGTGTTTGTGTATGTATGTGTGTGTGTTTGTGTGTGTATATGAGTGTGTATGTGCGTGTGTGTGTGTCGCGTGCATGAATATTGTTCGTACATGCATTTATGCAAAGCGCCTAGAGCTGTGTTTACACGGGAGTGGGTGCTATGGAAATGATCTTCATTATTATTATTATTATTATTCTTATTGCAACTTTCTTTTTCTCTAATCAGCAAATCAAAAAATATTTGGTAACCTAACATATCAAAATAATCAATATTAGTTGAGAAAAAAAACGTTTGCTTTAATCTAAAAGTAAGAAAATATCATAAACTATCATTACCAAATATAGGGACATTTCTCTTGCAGAAAAAAAGGCTATCTGGATCAAAATCATTCAACGGCTGTATCAAAAGCCTCGAACGCAAGGCTCTTAACATCAACAAAGAGTCTAACAAAGCAACACCTCTTTATATTTTGTAATTTCCTTTGTGATGAGCACCTCAGCCAGTGTGTGTGTGTGTGAGTGTGTGTGTGTGTGTCAAAGAGATATCTTAGCTCAAAACATATTTGTTAAGTAAATTTCTTATATTAAGATTTTTAAGACAACTTTAAGCGATTTCCTCAAATGATCCAACCTCGTGCAGCCTCATTCATAGTTTATATCTGCCCTGAAAATTTTTTTAAACTCTCTTGATATTTCCAAACCATTCTTTAAACATTTTTTTTCCTTCTCTCATCCGCTGTAGTTCCTAGACAAAAACCTGTCTTTGACGAGTTCCGGTGAATTTCCTGGACACCCCCTTTGAAAATTATATGCTTTTTGGAGAAAAAGGAAAGACTCATTTCTTAACGGGAATGCACAAAAAGGGTACAAACGGCGGATAAAAGTAAGAAAACATCTGCCCTGAAACAAGACTGTAGGAATTTACCAGTTTTGGGGACACACTCTGTCATAGGTCCATTGTTGAGAGCGTCACTTTCATCATCCTCAACAAGTGTAAACAGCTCACTTCCAGTGGAAAATTTCCCCGAGGCATCCTCTCCTCTCACGAACCGCCGGTCTAGGAGGGCTTGGCCTATTTCCACAGCTTTTTGTTCATCTAAAGTCAGAAGACAAAAACACCAACAGGGGAACTTAACGCAAAAAATTAGTAAACTTTACATAAGGGGAAAAAAATCTGTCCATAGAGTATAGATTAACATTAAAAAAGCATGTTAAAAGATATAATATGCCACCACATTATTACTTCTAACATTATTTACCTTAAAAAAATACTGACAAAACACATTCTACAGGAATCACTGTCTTTAGTTTAGTTTAGTTTTAGTAGAGGTTTTACCGCGCTCGCAACTACAGAAGGTCATATGACTGTCTAGTTGTCATTACCAACTACCTGCAAAAAGCAAAAACTTAACAGCATTACGGTAACTTTATTAAGATGCCTGGTGCAGATACACGCTATAACTACTAACATTTTAAAATAACCAAGTTTAAATTCAATGTTGTTTATAAATGCTGAAATGTCACTGAGTCTATTTGAAAGTTCAAGAAGTACAAAATAAGTCGGGAAACACACTTATGTCAGGGCAAAATAAAACATTTAGAAAAATATAGCCAGGGCAAAATAAAACATTTAGAAAAATATAGCCAGTACTTGGGGGGACTTTAAAAAAAATTATCTTTTCTGAAAAGAATCGTTTTCTTATTAATTTTTTTGTTATTACTCATAGTATAGTCCAGTACCTTGGATAAAACGAAATATTTAAGTGCTTAAAAATTACCTGAATCTTTTTTCTCCTTCACCCACTTCACAAAGTCCTTGCCAGTTAAACCATTCTTCTTCGACTTGAAAAAGCTACCGTGCGTTCTGATGACGTTGTCTTTCCTCAATTCATTCATCAAGAGGAAATATTCATCTGGCTCACACTGAAAGCTGAAAGGATCTGAAAAAAAGAAGTTTGCTGGAGATGAACACATTTATGAATATAAAGTCAAAATACAGTGGAAACTGTGTGTGACAGCCATCCAAGGAGAAAAATGGCCTTACACGACAGGTAGCTGTCTTACACAGTTTCAATATAATGGAAAGAAATATGCCAGGAAGGAAGTGGGAGGTAGCAGGTCAGACTGTGTATATATGTGAGGCGTCGTGGTGAAATCAGGCACTCATCAAAATGATCAAATCGAAGAAAACGGCATTTTTCTACCGGTTTGGCAATTTTTTTCAAATTTTCGTTTTTGGCTCAAGACCTTTTATGTCTACTTAAAAACAAATTTCTGTCTGGATTTTGCTGAAAAACTTAAAACGTAAATTTTCATTTGCAAAGGACTCTCAAGCTATCGATAAATTTACCTCTGAAATCAGGTGACCTCCACCTTCTTCAATCGGAAAAATCTCGACTTCTATAAATGATGGGTATTTTTTTCATCGAGGCAAGAAAAATAAACAAGCTTTAACGATGACAGCATTAACTCAACATGCCCAAAAACTGACGAGCGCCTGATTCTACTGCATCGTGACACAGATATGTAATAACAATCGTGACATGTAATAACAATAACCCCAATCTACTACACCAGAAAGATCCTTCGGTCCTTCATGCATAATAGAAAAGTTTATTTGTCACCATTGCAATTGAGATCAGATTCCTAACTTCATTTGATCCTATTTTACACTTTACAGGGAGAGCAAAACAACATGCAGTTTTTCTTGGGACAGAGAAAATAGTTTTTTGGGAGAGCTTGAACCATAAGTCACTTCTACGGGTACACGGTACACTTTGATTACAATCGTAGGGTCACACTGAATTTTCTTTTTTGAGGGTTATCTTAGATTTAAACTCTGGTGCACATTTTTGGCTCTCTCTCTCTCTCTCTCTTCTAATAATAATAGATAGCATTTGTATAGCGCAAATCCCCGCTCAACAGCAAGCTCTATGCGATGCCGACAGCACGTAGGAACTCAACGCTTGCTCGAGGGTCCTTAAAAAAAGCTGAAAGTGGGTCACTGAAATATCCCAGCACACATTTTTGGCTAAAACTATATATCAAACCAGTCAAACACACATAAATAGCACTGAATAATGCATTGGGAGAGCACTAGAAAAGAAAAAAGAAACAAAAAACATTGACATAAAAAACCTTGCCTGACCTGCATCAGCGACCGCAGTGCTAGGGTCTGGAATGACTGGCCCATCATCTGGCATAGGATTTTTTTTCAGTTCATCAATGTATCCTTGCAGCTTTCCCTTGTCAGCTATCTGTTAGGAGAGGAAACAACAAAATACACATAAACAAAATATACTTGGAGGTGTCAGTGGGTACCCAGCCACAGACAACGAAAGATCTTTTGCGGAGGTTAGTGTTTCAATGCCTGTAAAAAATGTAGTTTCTGTACTGTATGCTATCAGGTCTCCTGAAGTATTCAAAGTATACTTATCTATTGTAAAAGTTAAAACTTAGTAACAACAAGTGGCGTGGGCTCCTGTGATCTAGAAGTTGAGGTGTTTGCCTCTCATTCACTTTCCTGATTCGAATTCGGACAGTGATGGAAAATTTTCTTCTCTAAGATTTTCTCCTTCCACCTACTGTCCTGCTCTCTAACAATGTTCCCGTCTGCTTTCCTCCTTTGCCCCCCTCCTCTGGGCTCCAGACTCTTTCTGTGCTGCAGCCTTTCTAGTTTCTACTGCTACTCCTTGGCTCCTTCTTGCCGCTGTCTTTCAGCCACACCCCTGATCTTAAGGTAGTAACAAAGATCTACACCTAGCCTGCTCGGATAAAGGGAAAAAAATTTCTGAGGTCCAATGTGCAAGTTGTGCACATTAAAGATCCCTTGGTGGTCCAAAAGCGAAAAGAGCAGGCTTTAGCATTCACCCGTGCAAAATTCAAAATTTCCTAACCACTGAAAATAAATGTGTCCCGTGCACTCATAAAATGACCTATAGTTGCGAGTGCCGTAAAACATTACAAATTATCTACAAAAAAAGGAGTACTCTGCTTCTGCCTCCCCCACTCTCTTTCGGTTTTCCTTCCCCTCCTCATTTGTCAATTTGTGCTGACAAGCATTGAAGTTGTACATGTGTTATTTATATATTATATATATATATATATTTATGTGTGAATACTTTTAGCCCATTAACATGTTTTATAATAAACAAAAACGTTTTAAATTGATTTAGATCTACATAAATCTATCTAACTTAACACATTCTCACTTAATAAATTTCTCAGTTCAATTTCCTACCATATATAGTCTAGGCTATAGAGATCTATTTCACGTAATTATAATAGGGCCTAAAACTAGGAAAGTTTGGCAAAACATTCTCTACCCACAGTCATGGTTCTGGCTGGCTGTAAGGTAGCCCCCCCCCCCCCACCCCCCACCCCTCACCCCCCTGTAATGGCATCTCTTGATCTCCTCACTTGGCAAGACGAGAAATAATTACTTCCTGGTCCATTCACAGGGAGAATGAACATTGACATGATTGTACCCGACTAAATTTCCTGTGGACATTCTTGCCAGCCAAAAATTAATCATGACAACATCAAATCGAAATTATACTTTCTGCAGAGCTTGTCTTTGACTTTTTACTTTTTATATTCTTCATTTATTTATAGTCTTGAAGGTAAAAACATCAAAGGGGGCTCTCGTGGCCTAGAGGTGAAGGTGTTGGCCTCTCATTCAAAGGTCCCGGGTTCGAATCCGGGTAAAGACCGAAAAATTTTCTTCTGTTAAATTGTCTCCTTTCACCTCCTTTCCTGCTCTCAAGCAATGTTCTGTTGTCTGCGTTCATTTCCACTTTCTGCCCCCACCCCCTCACCTCCTTTGCCCCCTCCTTTGGGCTCCTGACTCTTTCTGCAGCCTTTCTGAACTACTGCTCCTCCTTGGCTCCTCCTTACTGCACTCATGACCATATAGTCTAGGCTATATATAGAGATCTAGATCTAGATCTATAGCAAACGCAAATGCTGAGGAGATGCAGCTGTTCATTTTTTTAACTAAAAAAGGTGAACACAGTCTTCAAACTTACCAGCTTTGTCAAGGAATCGTTGCCTCCGATGAAAACGTTATTGAAAAAAATTTGAGGAACGGTTTTCATTCCACTTTTCTTCGACACTTCATCTCTGATGTGAGGAAATAAGTCTAACCGAACGTCCGAAAAAGGAAGATCCAACTCTTTCAAAGCTTGTTTTGCTTTCATGCAGTGGGGACATCCTAATATTGAGTAAACGACAATCGTACCTTTTAGAGGTGTCGACATGATAATAATACCGGGTGGCGATCGAAATTTGGTCCTTTGAGTCCAGAACAAAATTGATCTTGTTGCAGACTTTCTCAGAGGTCTGACCAATTCAACTGGGCAACCAATTCTTCTAGAGGAAATTATTGATCTTGTTGTAGAGAGCCACAGAAATGTCCAACCAACCTGCCGTTGCTGCACACAAAAAGTTCCAACTTTCTGACTGAGCAGAACGGGCCTCAAAGTTCTTATATAATTTACTGAGAAAAATACCATGGTTTTCTCCCTTGGTACTGTCTATCGATTGACCTACATAGCTTCCTCCATTCATTCACTGAACCGAAGCGACATGATCATTATGACTGTGCAGGGTGACACTTTGTAGGGGTGAAAATGTTGAACTAGCCTAACCGTATGAGCTCAATAGATCTAACACAATGACCGAGCAGAATGTCGGCACAAACGGTACTGAGGTGAGAATGTCGAACGAAGTCCGAGGCGAGGTGAGCAGAGCGGCGGGCCAACTGTGCTCCCCCCAATGAGAATATCATATAGGCTACAGTATAGGCCTAAGGGCCTAGGCCTAATTAGTAATCCTCTTTGGCTCACTCCCACCAAAGATTGTCTACTACACATGCTACGACAGGATCTCTGCTCACACTGCTCGACAGAACCGGAAATTGGTTTGTTTATTATAACAATTATTATGTATATCTACACGTGAAGGGGGATACAAAACCGGTTAGGCCTAGGAATAGTAACCTCTAGAACTATACTATTGCTTGTCAGGTGCGATGGGTGGGTCAAAATGTGGGTGCGGCGACTCAGAAATGACGGTAAGTTGAGTTCAAGTTCAAAGTTACGATTTCCTATGTTCAGACTAGAGAAACGCCAAAATAAAATAATGTAGGCATAGTGAGTGTGTATGTTTGTGTATGTGTGAGTGCACGAGTGATTGATTGATTGTATTAGGGTCACGCGCACACACACACACACACACACACACACACGCACGCACGCACGCACGTACACGCACTTGCACACATACAACAGTAATCGGATATATAATGTAATTGTAAAGCTGTGTTGTTGTTTTTTTGTAGTGTTTTACGGCGATTGCAACTGCTTAATAAGGTCATAATATGAGCGTGCGGCAGATACCAAGCATTTTTAGTTGGTAAGACATTTTGAATTTTGCCTGGGTGGCGACTGAAGCCTATTCTTATCGATTTTGAACCACCAAGGGATCTTTAACGGGCACAACTTGCGCATGGGACCTCCGAGATTTTTCACCCTTGTCCAAGAAGGCTAGGTGTAGATCTTACCTACCATAAGATCAGGGATGTGGCTGAAAGACAGCAGTAAGAAGGAGCCAAGGAGAAGCAGTAGAAAAGCTGCAGAAAGAGTCAGGAGGCCAGAGGAAAGGGCAAAGGAGGTGAGGGGGTGGGGCAGAAAGTGGAGATGAAAGCATGCAACAGAACATTATTATAGAGCAGAAAAGGAGGCGAAAGGAGAACATTTGAGAGAAGAAAATTTTCCTCCCCAACCCAGCTTCGAACCCCGGACCTTTTGAATGAGAGGCGAACATCTTAACCTCTCGGCCACGAGAGCCCCCTGTAATGCTGTGTGGTAGCAGAAAGGTAGATATTCCTAACGTGGGCCCAATGGACGTACACGTGTTGGTTAAATACTGGCAGTCTCTTGGGACCTGAGAAAGTGTATCATGAACCTTGGAAAGTGTATCATGAACCTTGAGAAAGTGTATCATGAACCTTGAGAAAGTGTGTCATGAACCTTGGGAAAGTGTGTCATGAGCCTTGGGAAAGTGTGTCATGAACCTTGGGAAAGTGTGTCATGAGCCTTGGGAAAGTGTGTCATGAACCTTGGGAAAGTGTGTCATGAGCCTTGGGAAAGTGTGTCATGAACCTTGGGAAAGTGTGTCATGAACCTTGAGAAAGTGTATCATGAACTTTGGGAAAGTGTGTCATGAACCTTGGAAAAGTGTATCATGAACCTTGAGAAAATGTGTCATGACCCTTGAGAAAGTGTGTCATGAACCTTGATAAAGTGTGTCATGACCCTTGAGAAAGTGTGTCATGAACCTTCACCCTATTGTCTTGGCTTGCAGAGCACGGGCCCTCTATCTCTAATACAGTTGCTGTTGTTGTTTGGTTGTTGTTTTTTAGATTGTTCATTTTTTGTTATCCTTTTACAAGAAGAAAAAGAACATAGCAACGGGTTCATCCTTCTCTATGCCCTATAAAGTATAAACACATTGAATTAAAATTGATTGGCTATTATAAGGTTACTATAGGTGTAGACTAAGTGGTGACAACAGTGATTGGATAAACGAGCAACTGCGTTCGTGTGCGGCTAGAGGTGGAAGATTCTGAAGCAGTCTAGACTAGACAAATTTAACTAATTATTTCGTAAAGAAGAAGCTTTCATTTTCGAAGGGAAAAAGGTGGGAGGGCGGTTTAAGTCCTTTAGCCCTTCACTACGCTCCGCCGCTGAGCTTGTTACAACTTGTGTTTGTCCGCTGGCCGCGTGTTATAATAATTTTTTTAAAGGATGTGAAAAAATTAAGCCCTGCTCATTTATAAATTTATCAATGCGTCTCCACGTAAGTATCGAAAAAAAACATCCGTATAATGTATTGGTTCGTGTTTCAGAGGCGTATGTAAAAATAAAATTTAGTGTTGTGTTGATGAAAATAGATCAACTTCTTTTCTTTTTTTTTAAAGTGTGTGCTGAAAATCCCCCATTATTACATGTATTTCTACCCGCTTCAAGCAAACATCAAAGAAAATTGAATGTGAAAGAACTTAAGTTTGCGGTGTCCTTCATTTACGGGCGTGTTGATTTTGTTGGTTATTCATCTTTTAAACTCTATAAATTTAATTTTATGAAAAGACCAAAGATGATGAAACAGGTCAGTTTTTTTAAAATTCTGTTTTAACTGCGGTCAGTTAGAAGTGAACAATTTGCTATTGACGATCATTTATTTTAATTTTGTTTATGCACAGGGAGACGGACAGGCCTTCACAAATTTAGAATGGTTTGGCTCGACACTGTTTCTCACATGGGAGTCGTTATGTCTGGCAGAGGGAAATGCTCTGGTTAGGAAAGAGAAGCTCTGGGTGTTACTGCAAAGTTTGACCTAGGCCCACATGAACCAACACGACCGCTGTTCGCCGACTCTCCATGTGTGGGTGGTAGCAAGCGTCATGATTGTATGTTACATGACATATGTCTGTGCTCGCTCGTGTGTGTGTGTGTGTGTGTGTGTGTGTGTGTGTGTGTGTGTGTGTGTGTGTTTGTGTGTGTGCGTGTGTGTGTGTGTGTGTTCTCGAAGCATGTACAAAATTATTCTTTCTCTGCGCGATCAGTTTCACCAGTATCGATCAGCTGCATTAGGTCTGTCTGTCTGTCTGTCTGTCTGTCTGTCTGTCTGTCTATCTGTCTGTCTGTCTGTCTGTCTCTCTCTCTCTCTCTCTCTCTCTCTCTCTCTCTCTCTCTCTCTCTCTCTCTCTCTCTCTCTCTCTCTCTCTCTCTCTCTCTCTCTCTCTCTCTCTCTCTCTCTCTGACTGTGTCTTTTTTTTTTGGTAAGTGTTTTACGGCGCTCGCAACTGCATAAGGTCATATGAGCGTGCGAGACACACCAAACATTTTCAGTTGATAGGAAATTTTGAATTTTGCCCGGGTGGCAGCCGAAGTCTACTCATATATTATAGAATTTAGACCACAATGGATCTTTAACGTGCGCAACTTGCACACTGGACCTTCGAGATTTTTCGCCCTTCTCCGAGAAGGCTAGCAGAATGTCAGGGGTGTGGCTGAAAGACATCAGTAAGAAGGAGCCAAGGAGTAGCACTAGTAGCAGCAGAAAGGCTGCAAAAAGAGTCAGGAGCCCAGAGGAGGGGGCAAAGGAAGTGAGGGGGGTGGGGGCAAAAAGTGGAGACGAAAGCAGACCACAGAATATTGCTAGAGAGCAGGAAAGGATGTGAAATGAGAAAATCTGAGAAGAAAATTTTCCGTCGCCACCCGGGACCTTTGAATGTGAGGCGAATACCTTAACCACTAGGTCACGAGAGCCTCCCTCCCCCTCCGCTCTGATCTCTCTCTCTCTCTCTCTCTCTCTCTCTCTCTCTCTCTCTCTCTCTCTCTCTCGCCAAGTAAAATACAATGTACAGTCAAACCTGTGCAAGACGGTCACCCATTGTCAAGGAGAAAATGGCCGTATAAGACAGGTGGCCGTCTTAGGCAGGACTGACCAAGATGAAGAAAACAAACCCCATTCCCAATCGAAAGTAGCCGTATTATTGTCGTTTTTGTTGTTGTTGTTGTTGTTGTTATTGGTTTGTATTTTGTTTGTTATTTTCATTTTGTTGCTGATTTTGTGCAAGGGTAACAATAAAACGAAATGTGTCAGACAAGGAGGACCGAGTGCAATGGTAAAACAAACATATGGGGCGCCACCACTCGAAGAACGAGCGACGCTTCTGTCACAAGTTCATGTTGACGTCCTTTGTCACTTTGTTACAGAGTGGGTAAACAGTGACCACTCATCTCGCTTACGATTTGTGTATGAGTTCTGGGCGGGGCTTATGGGTTATGAGGGATCACACGCTTACCTCACCAGCAGCTGGAAATTGGTACCTATTGGTCAACAGTGGGAGGGGCCTACGCTACATGATCGGTTGGAGGGACTACCTAACAACAACGACAGGTGATTAGATTATGACAGCTCGCCCACAACGCCAGGGGTCAATGCACAATTAATGGCAAAACGTAATGGAGTCACAAGGTGGCCGTCTAAGACAGGTGTTATTGCTTAGTGTGATAGGGGTTGTGTGTTGAAATAAGGTGACCGCGGCCGCGTTGGACAGGTGCCCGTTTTACACAGTTAAATTATGTATAGGAAAAAACGCAAAGGAGGAAATAGAAAGTGGCCGTTTGTACAGGTGACCGTCTTATAGAGGTGGCCGTCATGGCAGGTTCGACTGTAATATTGACACGGGTCCTCGGCCTACTTTTTTCACCCACCTAACAGTGCCGGCAAAGATTTTCTACTATCGGTACTCCGAACATTTTCTATCCACAACTCCACGCAACATTCTCAGCTCCGCCCTGACCCAGCACCACACAGGGTCAGTGGCAGACAGCAATAACCACACGTTGGGTCATATCTCAGCAATAAATCGTCATCCGATCCGACAAATAAAAACACCTTTCCTGCTTCGATCCGCAGGGTCACACCGCGCTGAATAAGACATGTCGCCCCAGCAGACAGATTTTTTGTTTGTTAGTTTTTGTTTTGGTAGATTAAGTGTTTTACAGCGCTCGCAACTGCATAAGGCCATATGAGCGCGCGGGACACATTAAACATGTTTCAGTTGGTAGGAAACTTAGAATGTTGCCCAGGTGGCGGCAGAAGCTTACTTTTATCGATTTTAGACCACCAATAGATCTTTAACGAGCGCAACTTGCGCACGGGACCTCCGAGATATTTCGCCCTTGTCTGAGAAGGCTAGGTGTAGATCTTTCCTACCATAAGGGGTGTGGCTGAAGACAGCAATAAGAAGGAGCCAATGAGTTGCAGTAGAAAAGCTGCAGAAAGAGTCAGGGGCCCAGAGGAGGGGGGAAAGGAGGTGAGGGGGTGGGGGCAGAAAGTGGAGACGAAAGCAGACGACAGAACATTGCTAAAGAGCAGGAAAGAAAGTGAAAGGAGGCAAGTTTAGAGAAGAATTTTTTTCGGTTGCTACCTGGATTCAAACCCTGGACCTTTAAATGAGAGGCGAACACCGTAACCTCAAGGCCACGAGAGCCCCCAGCAAACACATGGAAACACTTCATTAGTTAGGCTCTTTGGCAGCTCAGCACAAGATGGAAACGCTGGACACAGTAGATCTCTAGTAAATTTTCCAAAGTGGGAATCGAACTCACATCTTCATAGTTAAAAAACAACTAGATCTAAACCACCGCCCACATCGACACCTTATAGGTCAATCAGGCGGCAGTTTGTTTCGACACCTCTTGTACCAGCAGAAAGACGGACGGAAATGTTCCACAGAAAGTCACCCACACAATATGAACTCACGTCTCTTGTGTACAAGATCGAGACCACACCCATAAGTAGTTGCCCTTCATCCAGCTTACAGCCGAGGGAGCTCTTTTGTTTTTGTCATGAAAGAGTTACCACTGAGGAATCGAAAAATAAAAAAATTTTTTTTTTTTTAAATAAGAAAGAAAAAGAACAGACTGCCATCCTCCTATGAATGACCCTCATGAAAGAAGAAAATGTTAGATCATACAAACAGCAACGAGAAACAAAGGAAGTGGGATCGGATGTACAGTGCAGCCTTTTTATAACGACCTTCGATATAACGGCATCTCTTTATAGCGACATGGTGCCCAGGTCCCGATTTTTCCTTTTTAAAATATTATCATTAGTAATATTTTTGGTTGTCTCTCTCTAACAACAACTCACTATAAACGACAACTCTCTATAAGGCAACTTTCTATAACGACAACTCTCTATAACGACAACTCTCTATAACGGCAACTCTCTATAATGACAACTCTCTATAACGGCAACTTTCTATAACGACAACTCTCTCTAACGACAACTCTCTACATGTATAACAACAATTCTCTATAACGACATTTTCTGTGGTCCCGACGATGTCGTTAAAGAGAGGCAGCACTGTGGTGCCCGCGAAAGGAGAAATGGAAGCTGAGAGTGAGGGCGTTGTGTGGGAGAAGGGAGATCTCTACGTATTTCTCTCCTGTCAGAGTATTTGAGTTTAAGACTGCGAGATGAACCTTCTATCGAATGCGGCACGAGAGTGGGTGATGTGTGAGTGTGCCGGTATGTCTGTGTGTGTACGTCTGTGTGTTTGCTGTTTGTGCTTGTGTGTGCGTGTTCGTGCGTGTGTGTGCGCGCGAGAGAGAGACAGAGAGAGACAGAGAGAGGGGGGGAGAGAGAGAGAGAGAGAGAGCACACCCACGTGTCGTATAAAACGAGTACATGTATCTATGTACATTATAAGCTAGGAGATCCCCCTTCACGTTCAAAGGTGAGACTACCAACGGCAACATTCATTTTCTGTCAGACGGACAATAATTGACATTAAAGAAAAAGAGTTTTTTTGCTGATAATAATTCGTTTCAATCAGTTTCAAGCAGATCCAAACTGACATTTTTCAATGTTAAAAAATGGAACTCAAAGAGACAATACAGGGCCTCAGTGCTGCGCTGTCGCAAAACAAACAAAGACCATTTTCTAATACTAATATCAATCTCTGTACATCAACGCTGGCTTCCTGTCATGATGCCTAATTTGGTTTGGGCGAGGCTCAACCAATGATAGTACATAACAAGATGGTTCACTCAGCCAAAAAAGTGTCCGCAGGAAGTATGCTCTTTGCTTCAGATGGCGCTGCG